ACTTTGAACAAATGCCGAGAAAGCCTACTTTACAAGTGGAAAAAAGGTTAATAATCATGTCATCAGACGCTAGTAGTGAAAAAAATGTTTTTTTCACTACTAGCGTCTAATGACATGATTATTAACCTTTTTTCCACTTGTAAAGTAGGCTTTCTCGGCATTTGTTCAAAGTGGTTAATAATTTTTTATTATTAACTAGTAGTCAATAATGAGAACTGCAGTCACGCTGTCACTTTTAGAAAACACAACCCGAAATTTCACTCAATGAACGTTTAGACAAGTTCTCTAAAACGAACCATTCGCAATTTCCAGAGAAATTACATACCTAAAATTATCACATTTTGAAAAAATTCGAACGAAATTACTCTTTGAAAAATCTCAATGACAGAACAAAATACGGCCTGTTTGACTTGTACTTCCACGTACTTGATTGACATGTTAAATTAAGAAACAAACAATTCTCTCCAACCGTTAACTCTCTTATCAATATAATATGTTAATTTAGAGGATTTCAAGTGCTAGTAGTGAAAAAATAGTATATATACCACGGTAGAGAAGTCTATTATTGCCTTCGCACCTTACACCCCTCGGCGCAAGCGCCTCGAGATGTAATCTTGGTGCTCAGGCAATAATAGTGGACTTCTCTACCTTGATATATAATGTACTATTATCATGTATTTAACTGACGAGAAAATCGAAATGTTAAAGTTGCTTTATGCTGGAAATAATGCCCGCCAAGTAACGTGTGTATTTAGTGTTAAGTAACCCAATTGGCCGATTCCAAGCAGTAGGTACAAGATTACAGAATTAAATATAAAAATCGTTGGACGTCAAACAACGATAACTTAGATGCGATGCGCTTGAATTTTGTTAAAAGATTCCCAAGCATCACTGATTTATAAAAATGTAATTTTTTATTTTGTCGATTTCTACGATTTTGAAAAACGGAAAATTATAAGTAATAGTATGAACAGATGCATTATTTTTTTCTCTAAAAAAAACTTTCTTTAGACTTTTGCTCTAAAATAATTAGGGGAGCTGGTAATTGACTATAAAGAAATTACCATTGAAATCCCTGTGCTGCGTTGTGCTAGGCACCACCCTGTATAAGGCTGTATAAGGATTCACTAGCATAAAATACCCCCAGCCAACAATTCCATACATTAACAGTGATTGTATTAACGAGAAATACAAAACACACATCTGTTGAGTGAGTACGATATGTCGTAAGTGTTTAATTTTAGATAAAACTGCCCTTCTCTTCACTGGTCAACAGGCCCTAAAATGTCAACTAAATCAATTTTTTAAACATATTCATGTTTAAAGCACGCGAGCGCTGAAAGTAATGCACCTACATCTGAAAAAAGAGTATGCTCTATATTCAATGTGGAATATCGACGTAAATATCGAAAATACAAAAAAAGTGCATACCATCTTTTTTATACAAAATTTTATTATCTTTCTTTTTTTATATGAAACTTTACTTGCTAGAATGCACGGTTACCGAGATATCAGCGAAAAAGTGATTTGGAGTACCTTTTTTCCAAGATGGCGGCTCGAGCTCTAGGAGTTTCGGCCCCGACTTTTAGTATGTTCGAATACAAGCCCTAATGTACCTCTATACCAATTTTCAGCTTTCTTTCAATTACTTCCGCTATTCGTGAAAATTCGATCTAATTTGACTGTAAAAATTTGATCTAATTTGACTGTACTAAATAGACGTTCAAAGAAAACGAAAATTGCGGACTCGTCAAACGGTCATCGAGGATGAAGATTTGCATTTTTGAAGACAATATGAACTGAACTGAATTCTTCAAAACAATTTATGGTTGTTGAAACCGTTTTAACAGCTCGTAAATGTTTCAATTACACCGAAGGGGAAAAAGAGAAGAGAAATGAAAGAGGGCCAATTAAAAATGGCGCAATCATTGACTACGCAATTTAAGTGCAATCTACGGCAGATTACCCCGAACGTGAAACGATTCTTTCAAAACTTACGTCATGAATTTGAAACCGTTTGGTTGCAAGTGCGGAACTTAAAACTCTCAAGGGGATTTACTTACTTCACACTTTTCTAAAAATTTGATAAATATTACAGAGCTATCAATAAAATCACCCCTAAGTCACAACACAAAAATGTTCTATTCCCTTCTTTTGTTGTCAGATAATAAATTCTCAGTACAATGTCCAGGACTCCGACGAGATTTACTATCGACGCACTGGAAAGCGCCTTTGTTATGAATTTCCTTTTAGTGACTTTCCGTCATATTTTATAAGGATGAAATTGAATGATACGAACTTGATTAGCCCTCCTTCTTTCTTATATTTGACAATGCGCCCATCAGCGCACTCCGTATGCGAAAACAAATGATACCGAATAGTTTCTAGATATTTTAAGCACCCTTCAGGGTAACAAAGGAAGGTGATTTACGAATTCTCTCTTTACAACTTTTTTGGGATACTCCCACGTTAAGTGCTTGCGGTGTTACGAGCTAAAAGGTAATTTTTAATTACTTAGAAGCAGAGCTGGGCAGAATACTTTCAAAAAGTATTCTAATACTATTAAAGGTATTCCAATACTATAAAAAGTATTCGAATACTTTGAAAAGTAATCGAATACTTGTCACTCAAATACATTAAAAATTTAAAATAGTATACTAGATAAAAAATCAAGTTATACCTTGTATGGGGTTGTTTTTTTAAATATTTCTATTGTTATATACAAATTTAAGGGCAGTAAAAGCGTATTATTATTATTATATTATTATATAGGAGGTACCTACCAGGACCTTTCTTATACCAGTTATATCCTTAAGAATACGTGTAGCAGTTTTCAAAGCGATCGTACGTCGTGCACATGATACGTACGCCTTTCTGAAATTAATCCTAGCGATTTTCGAACAGACCCATTTTTGACCATCCGTTTGTCCGTGTGCATGATAACTTGTTTAGAAACGTGCGATCGCTTTGAAAATTGGTACACATGGTCTTAAGGATATAAGAAAGGTCCCTATTGTTTTTAAGTTACGTAGACTATCGAGTTCGGTATTCAGATGTATCTGATTTTTATATTTGATTTTGTGACAATGGAAACTTTCCCTAAACATTTCTAAATTGTTCTCAAATATTTGAATAACTTAAAAGTACTGCCTTTTTTTGAGGCCGGAAAAAAAATTGTCTGAGATCGACCGGGAAAACATTTTCTTATAGAATTTGGCCCGTAGAATCCATAATTTCAAACAGTTCCAAGATTGGGCTACTAGTTCAAAAGTTACAGCCCTTTGAATTTTTTTTTCGAAATTGGTTTCTAGTCTATAACTTTTGATTGAGAAGTCTGATCGAAAAAGTACGAATTGTTTTGGATTCTACGCACCAAAATTAATAAGAAAAAGTGTTTCCCGAGAAATTTTGGTGTAGTCGATTTTTGGTAAAAAAGGAAGGTTATACACTGCCTTTTTTTGAGCCCCGAAAAAAAAATTGTCTCAGATCGACCCGGAAAAAACATTTTCTTATAGAATGTGGCCTGTAGAATCCATAATTTCAAACAGTTCTAAGATTGGGCTACTAGATCAAAAGTTACAGCCCTTTTGAATTTTCTTTCGAAATTGGTGTCTAGTCCATAACTTTTGATTGAGAAGTCTAATCGAAAAAGTACGAATCATCTGGATTTGGATCTGGATTTTTGGTAAAAAAAGGAAGGTTAATACCTTGCGAAGTATTCGAATCCTAAATATTTGTGAAAGTATTTGAGTTGCAAACACAAATACTGCTTCCATAAAAGTATTTAATTACAAAGTATTTGAATACTTTAAAGGATTTGAATACTAAAAAGTATTTACAAAATCGAATACTGTCCAGCTCTGCCTAGAAGGAGTCCGCTTATTTTCTGATTACGAAAATCTAAACAATCATACCGTTTCAAGGAGTCAGGCAGGTCCGGTAAGAGTAAAACTTTATACTCGTCAGTATGCCAGTCATAAATCGTGTCTAGCATCCTTCGAAGATCTTGAGAACGCAACTTGAAACATATAAGGTTGAAATTAACGGATTCCAATTGATTCATCCCAGATGAATAAGTGTGAAAGCTGTAAAATGATAGATTTGTTTGTTTTAAATTCCTTTTGGCTCGATATTTTTCACAAGAACGTAGCGCTTTTTCTTTCTACTCAACTTTTTAAACGTGTAAGGAGACTAGGATTAGTGGGTTACAAGAGAGATCGGTCTTGAGCCGTCGTAAAGATCATATCAAAATAACACTGATTCTTTTGACTCGCTTTTGGGGGGTTGGTTAGGTCAAAGAAACAAATTAAAATTCGCGCCAACAGATTTGAATCTCGGACAAATTTCCTGAAAATTGGAAAACTTCTCCGATAGGTATTCTCGCACGATTAGAGCGTTGTGTGCGGATGCACCATCCTGTTGAGACCCAACAGTTCCTTACTTTTGTTTTATTCTGTGTGCCATACATTGTTGTATTCGTAATAAAAATTGGTATCCAGACCAAGTTGATGATAATTTCTCCGAAACGAAACGTTGTATTCGAAATTTGTCAACGGTGTCAATGAGAAAGTGATCTTTTTCTCTATCTGTTTAAATAACAGCAGAAAAAATAAAAACAAAATCCGAACATTTCTGGCATATATCATCGGAATAATCGGAATTTTATACTTTTCTTTAATTAAAGTATGATAAGTCTTTCATTGTGCATCTTTTCTCCGATTTGACCATTCTACCATTCTATGGTTTCGGAGATCCCCATGATGGACAACCTTATTTTGGACGCAGTGTATATTTTTCCACGTGTAGTTTGAGTTTTGTCGATGTTTCAACGGATCATGGAAATTGCCGCTTTCCGTACGCTTATGACTTCCCAAAGGCTGTGGAGCTAAAAGAAGCCATTAGTTCGTTGTCAAAACACATACAACGCTAGATCGATCTTTCTAGCTATTGTTGTTTTATTGTAACTGCTTTTACAGTTGCGTTTAACAACAATGTATACGAATAAAAACAAAATTTAAGAATAACAGCTACAAGGGAAATTACTACTGACGCAATTTGTTTATACAAATTTGAAGTTTGAGAGCCGCCTTGTTAATATCTTCCTCCCTAATTTCATTACAAGTTTTGAGCTTTTCCACCTGAACTCTTTGCTTTTCTATTTCGGTTGCCAGGTTAGCTTCGCCCGTAGGCGTGAGCTGATTTTTAGCCACAAGGATGCACGTAATGTAGCATTTTTCCGTTTCGTTGGCTACATAATGGGGATTATGACGCACTTTGTTATAAACCATGTGGGCATTTGAACCATCGATACCATTTTCTTCGGCGCACTTTTGGAGTGGTGATTGTCTAAACTTGGCTCTCGAGGTATTGTTCGCCTTGAATGGGCCAATGTTAGAGCTAGTAATGTGCTAATTAAACATACCTCTTCCAGTGAAAGATGTACGCAGCAGAACACTAACAGTACAGTCAATTTCGCCATGTCCAAAAGTGAAGGTTAACTGAGAAATAGCGCATTCAGCCGCTCTTTTCTATAGAACTTGATTTCAATACGCATTGTTGGAAACGAAAGCTTTAATTGTACAGTTTAAAAACATAATGCTTTGCTTTTTCGAAATGATGGCCCACCAAGGACAGGTATGCAAGAGTTGTCATTTTAACCAACTCATCTGTGGGGTGCTTAATGGTATAAAATCCTACAATTCGTCTTAGTTAAATATTATTGGCTTTGGTACCAGATATGGGAGGGGTGAGGGTCTTCCTAGTAGCACACATGAGTGTTCCTTTTAAGCATTGATACTAATGGCGTAGGTAGTGGGATACATGAGGGGGAGAGATGAAAATGGTGGGAAAGGTTTTTCGACAAACCATGTCATGTGCAAGATAAGCGATGCAAGTGTTTTACCAGTTCTGGCGGGGTAGATGATTTCAATGGAGTTTACGGCATTTGATTGAGGCGTTCGAGTCTCTCAAGTTTATAAGGGTTTTAAGTCAATGTTAGGATTTACTTGTAGTGTCGGAATCCAGTTGTGCTCTGAAGGAGAATTTAAAAAGAAAGAGAAAACTAAATTGTATGATTTGAGTTAGTAAGTGTTGGGTGGTATAATGATCGCATACCATTGCACACATCAGTATATAGAGAGACTAATAAGCGAATGCATATGCATAATTTCCTTATGAACCCTTGCAAATGGATCACATCAAAGCATAAGCAATTTTGGGTTAAATTTTAGGAAATTTAAAATAACATATATTCACCAATGCTACATACAAGTTTTATACTTATTTTATTATAATCTATGGATTAAACACAGTGTGTCTACACAAGTTGGCGCCGTATGGACTTTTTTATTATAAGTTTACGAAAAAAAGTGATTCGTTATAAAAATCTCTGCTTTCAAAAATAATAATATTCAACTATTTGCATTTGTCATTGATTGATTGATTTATTGTGCTGAGAGACCGTACAGTCTTTACACTTGTCATTGCATATACGGGGTGGCCGGAATTTAAAAAGTTCCACCACTACAATTTTTAATTAAATTTTACTGAACCTACTTGCAAAACACGTAATCTGTTATTTTGAATCAACATGATGTTTATTTGCTGATTCGAAATATTTTACAGACGCATGCTACGAAATGATATGTAACAAAATAGTTATTACAGAAATTGTATTTTTCGTACATTACATTACAAATACAATTGCTTCAATTATTACACATTCTAAATGAATTCCGTCTCAAAAAGAAAAAAAGAAAATGTCTTTCTCTTCTGTAACGACTTAATTTTTAGGGGAAGTGTTGATCGAAAAATCAAATAACAAGACCTTAATATTTCCAATTTGTTGCTACGAGAGTGATAGTACATACATAACAGATATTGAAAACTGTCATGTTGGTTTTTGCCATGTTAAATTAAATTTCTTCATTAATTACAACTATTTACCATACAATTCCACCAATGCTAGAAAAATTATTCTTTATTTCATGTAAATGCAATATATATGAAAGTTTTTGCTCTTAAAAATTTAAAGGATCTCAGTTGAGGGTAATATAGTACTTTAGGTATTTTTAACTTTTTTGTAGTGGCAGCATTGGATCAGTATCAGTATCAGTTAAAAGTAAACAGTTTTGTGCAAATTTGTTTGTATATATACATAAGGAAAGCGAAAATTAATAATAATCATAATTGTACTTTATTGACTGAATATGTGTAGAATACAAGAAAAAGAAAAAGATGTATATTTGTGTAAGTAATCAATCTCAATTAGCCAAAAAGATCATCAATTAAGGTAAGTGTCACAATGGCAAAGTATAACAACATGCGATATAAGTTTCTTTGATGCTTTTTATAGATAAAGAAATTATGTAGTATTTTACTAAGCATAACCAAAAACACACGTTTTTGGGGATACCTTGGCCCAAACATATTTTGGGCCAAAGTAGCCCCAAATGGATTTGAAAACTGCTTTTGCCCTACAGGATATTAAGTAATTTTATTGCCTGATTGACTGATTCGCCTATTGGCATAGTGTTTCTATTCTTACACTATGCTGTTGGTTATTAAAAAATTGTTCTTGACTTTGTGTCAGGTGACTTTGTGCAATGACTAGAACTTACAAAACGAAAATTAGAGCTAGAAGTTATGTTAATTATACAAAAGCAAAATTAGAAGAATGTTTAAATGACATTAGGTCTTAGGTCTGGTAAACGAACTCAACGGAGAGCATCTGAACATTACGGTATTGCTCCTTACCCTTATTCAAAAAATTAAAAAAAAAATTTATTATAATAAATTAGATAAATAACATTAATCCAAATATCCTACATCAAAATAAAACAAATGAACGTGTACGTTTCTTATTAAAATTGAAGACAAAACGCAATTAGCAGTAAAATGGTTTTCATCGCCATGAATGTTCACGATGTTCACGTCGTTAACTGCAAGGCAGTGGCATAATCTATCACAAAAAGCTTGAAATAAACATTAATTTCTTCTGCACGAGTGCTAACGTGTTATGTCATTGAAAAGAGAAAAAAAATCTCTATGAAATGTGCCTAATAAAAGTGTGCATTGCTATCAGGGTTGCTATTTAAAAAAAATTAATTGTTTTTAGTTATTCAGTTGTTTTCTGAAATAACAACAATGGAATGCTGCCTTATGATGGAAAATAAAATGTTAAACAACTTTACTATAGAAAAATATTGTATACAGTCGATATTTACCGTTACAATCGAATCAAAAGCGATTGGTTTGTAACGTCTCTTCTTCCACGTTGAAAAAAAACATATTAACCTTATAGAAGTGCTGAAACGAGGTTCAGAAAATAGTATAAAATTTGTATGCTCCTAGTATCTAAGCCAACCCCTTGATGTAGCTTATTATGGGTCAATGAAAAAAGAGTGGCGTATTTTATTACGCAAATGCAAGGAAAGCAACCAAACAACGACAAACTTCCCAAAAGACAAGTTTCCGCAACTCTAAAACATTTTTGTTGATTGCCTCAGAGCGCTGGGCAGAATACTTTCAAAAAGTATTTTAATACTTTCAAAAGTATTCTAATACCAAAGAGTATTATGGTTACTCTTTGCTAATACTACCAAAGGTATTCGAATACTATAAAAAGTATTCGACTACTTGTCAATCAAATACATTAACAATTTAAAATAGTATACTAGATAAAAAGCTTAATTAAAAAATCAAGTTATACCTTGTATGGGGTTAGCTTTTTTTATATTTTTATTGTTATATACAAATTTAAGGGGAGTAAAAGCGTATTAATATTATTATATTATTATATTAAGGAGGTACCTACCAGGACCTTTCTTATACCAGTTGTGTACCAGTTTTCAAAGCGATCGTACGTCGTGCACATGATACGTACGCCTTTCTGAAATTAATCCTAGCGATTTTGGAACAGATCCATTTTTGACCATCCGTTTGTCCGTGTGCATGATAACTTGTTTAGAAACGTGCGATCGCTTTGAAAATTGGTACACATGGTCTTAAGGATATAAGAAAGGTCCCTATTGTTTTTAAGTTACGTAGACTATCGAGTTCGGTATTTAGATATATCGGATTTTTACATTTGATATTGTGACAATGGAAACTTTCCCTAAACATTTCTAAATTGTTCTCAAATATTTGAATAACTTAAACGTACTGCCTTTTTTTGAGGCCGGAAAAAAAAATTGTCTGAGATCGACCGGGAAAAAACAATTTCTTATAGAATTTGGCCCGTAGAATCCATAATTTCAAACAGTTCCAAGATTGGGCTACTAGTTCAAAAGTTACAGCCCTTTGAATTTTCTTTCGAAATTGGTTTTTAGTCTATAACCTTTGATTGAGAAGTCTGATCGAAAAAGTACGAATTGTTTTGGATTCTACGCACCAAAATTAATAAACAAAAGTGTTTTCCCGAGAAATTTTGGTGCAGTCGATTTTTGGTAAAAAAGGAAGGTTATACACTGCCTTTTTTTGAGGCCCGCAAAAAAAGTTGTCTCAGACCGCCCCGGAAAAAAAATTTTCTTAAAGAATGTGGCCTGTAGAATCCATAATTTCAAACAGTTCCAAGATTGGGCTGCTAGTTCAAAAGTTACAGCCCTTTGAATCTTCTTTCGAAATTGGTTTCTAGTCTATTACTTTTGATTGAGAAGTCTGATCGAAAAAGTACGAATTGTTTTAGATTCTACGCACCAAAATTAATAAGAAAAAGTGTTTTCCCGAGAAATTTTGGTGTAGTCGATTTTTGGTAAAAAAGGAAGGTTATACACTTCCTTTTTTTGAGGCCCGCAAAAAAAGTTGTCTCAGATCGCCCCGGAAAAAAATTTTCTTATAGAATGTGGCCTGTAGAATCCATAATTCCAAACAGTTCCAAGATTGGGCTGCTAGTTCAAAAGTTACAGCCCTTTGAATCTTCTTTCGAAATTGGTTTCTAGTCTATTACTTTTGATTGAGAAGTCTGATCGAAAAAGTACGAATTGTTTTGGATTCTACGTACCAAAATTAATAAGAAAAAGTGTTTTCCCGAGAAATTTTGGGGTAGTCGATTTTTGGTAAAAAAGGAAGGTTAAACACTGCCTTTTTTTGAGGCCCGCAAAAAAAGTTGTCTGAGATCGCCCCGGAAAAAAAATTTTCTTATAGAATGTGGCCTGTAGAATCCATAATTTCAAAGAGTTCCAAGATTGGGTTACTAGTTCAAAAGATACAGCCCTTTGAATTTTCTTTCGAAATTGGTTTCTAGTCCATAACTTTTGATTGAGAAGTCTGATCGAAAAAGTGCGAACTGTTTTGGATTCGACGCACCAAAATTAATAAGAAAAAGTGTTTTCCCGAGAAATTTTGGTGTAGTCGATTTTTGGTCCTTTTCTTGAGGCCCGAAGAAAAAATTGTCTCAGATCGACCCGGCAAAAAATTTACTTATAGAATGTGGCCTGTAGACTCCATAATTTCAAACAGTTCTAAGATTGGGCTACTAGTTCAGAAGTTTCAGCCCTTTTAAATTTTCTTTCGAAATTGGTTTCTAGTCCATAACTTTTGATTGAGAAGTCTGATCGAAAAAGTACGAATTGTTTTGGATTCTACGCACCGAAATTAATAAAAAAAGTGTTTTCCCGAGAAATTTTGGTGTAATCGATTTTTGGTAAAAAAAAAGGAAGGTGAAGTATCAAATACTATGCGAAGTATTGGAATACTTCTCAAAGTATTCAAATACCTTTACGAATACTAAATATTTGTGAGAGTATTTGAGTTACAAATACAAATACTGCTTCCATAAGAGTATTTAATTACAAAGTATTTGAATACTTTAAAGGAGTTGAATACTAAAAAGTATTTACAAAATCGGATACTGCCCAGCATACGAAGAAAAGAAAAGTAACATGTTTTCGGGCTTCAGAAAAACTGGTATTATTCCTATTGATCGAACTCAAATTCTTAACCGCTTGCCACAAACAGAATTAGACACCCTTAAAAAAACTAACTTCGACAAAGGGAGGTTCTAAAAAGAAACGAAGATAATATTGTTACCGAGCAAGTACCAGTAGAAGAAATAAATGGATTAGATTTGAAGGAAGGCGACCTTGTAATTGTTAGCTATGAAGGTAATTACTATCCAGGACTAGTAGTGAAAATGCCCACTAAAGCAGAGAATGGTCCAACTGTCGATTGAAAATTAAAAAATCTTGGATTTAAAAGGACAATATCTTAATCAAAAATCAACCCGCTAAAACTTCATAACAGAAGGGGACATGCATCAATTTCAATAAAAATTATTTGTTGAGTTTTAAATGTAACACTTTAACCAATTAAAATGTTTTGATAAAATAAAATTTGTCCTTCATTGTAAATCAAAGTAACCCCATGTGACTAGCTACAATGGCCCAATATCAGATTCCAGTGTTATTTCTCAGGAAAAACAATAGTCACCAGGGTTACTTTGGCCCAAATCTAAAAAAAATCACGGGTAATTACCATTAAAATGTCTAACAAGTATAAATGCCCACAATTATGATGAGTAATAACAGTAATAACCTTTTTTTATTTTGCAAGTTTCTAGAAAGAAACTGAAATTGTGGGCCATTGTAACTTCTTTATCTATTTAACCACAGATCTAATCTCTAATGGAGGACTTGGAATATAGTTAGAACCAAAAACCCAAAAAATTAAAAACAAGCATAAGCGACAAACGCAATTTGCCACAACGCTTCAAAAATGAAACCGACAGTTTTTCTAGAAATCTCAATGTAGGTAAATTGCCCTCAATGAGTGTGTTCAAGTGATCGCATCTCATTTTTTAATATTTTTTAATTGGCGAATTACGTATAACTTGTCATTACCTCCAAAATCGAGGCGGATGTTAACAAATGTAATTGCGATAATTTTATTCAGACAGTTTTTGCGTTAGCGCGATTACAAAGTGCCAAATTTGTTTTTTTTTAATCAGTTCACTCACTTTAACTGACTTTGTGTGGTGGCCAATTTCCAGCTCACAGCACGTCACTTCGTTCAAGTATAAATTGACGAGGTGTCCCAGAAGGGGTACTTATTATCAAAATGAAAATCCTTGTGATATTCGCCTGCTTTTCCGTTGTATACGCTGTAAGTACCTACCAATGTATTTACGAGAAATGTTAATGTTGTAACACACATCAGCAGAAAGAGCATGGGAAGATAATGAAGGAGTGCATGGAAGAGTCAGGTGTTAATAAGGATTTACTCCATTACACTTTTAAAACTAGAAACGTGACCAAGGATGACAATTTGATAGCGTTTTTCACGTGCACGATGGTAAAATACGGATCTTTAAATAACCAGACGTGCCAAGTTAATTTGACGGGGATTAAAGACATGTGCACGAAAATGCAATTGGGCGATTGTTCATTTGTAGATACTTGCGAGAAGAAACAAGGCGCTGACTGTAAAGAAACCGTCTTTTTAGTAAACCAATGCGTGCTTCCTCACCTACCTGTTAGTAAGCATCCGATTCTACAAAATGGAAGTGTATTATTCTTTTTAGGGAAATGGTTCGGAGAATGTGATCGAGGCATGCAAAAATCAATCGAAAGTGGGTGCTGATTTGATCATGAAACTGCACAAGGAGGGCATCGTTTCGGACGATCCAAGCATGGTAAAGTTCTTGGGTTGCGTCACCGATAGATTCGGCTGTTTCGATGAGAGCGGAAGCATCAGTTTGAAATACCTTAGGGGGATCTGTGCGTGGAAAAAATGTGCGGACTGCTCATTCATAGATGAATGCGAAAAGAAAAAAGGTGGAAGTAAAGACGAAACCGCATTCCTTGCCTTGTCGTGCGCCTATCCACAGATGTGTAAAGCGAAAGAAGAGTAAATATTGAGGCCACAAGCACTATTCTGACAGAAAGGAATCTTTTTGCAGGTTTCTGACGCTTTGAATCTTGAAAATGTTGTTTACAAGAGAAGTACACTATTAAAAGTACATCGTCCTTTAATCAACAATTGCTACAATTACCACCATCCAAACCACATTCACTGTTTTTATTATTCTAAAGCAACAACAGAGTCAGAATTTACTAACTCTACAACGTGTTACATATAAGTATGTAAAAAAAGGTGGGTGGCAGAGGGGATCAAAACAAGCACTTTTTCCAAATAAAACGAGGGTCCAGCATGTTTCGTTTGGAAGCCACCCTAAAAAAAGTGGTGAAATTTGCATTTCCCCTTTAATTTGTTGACGCCTTTGAATGGGGTTTGGGGTACAGAGGGTAATTTTTTGTAAATTCCTGCTTAGTGCCATTGAAAGTACACTGGGTGTATGACGGCTGTCTTTTCTTTCAAACTTTGAAGGCGCCTGGCAAAGTGTAAGGCCCCACTAAATAGTCTGGCATACTTATTTTTCTGCTCGTGAAATATTAAATTTAAAAGTAATAAAAATTTCAAAGTGCCTCAAAAGCATTTTTGAAAAAAAAAATCGTATCTTTAAAAATATAAAAAGTTGCTTTAGCCCCGCTTCTCTCCAGCCAGGTCTGCATTTCGGTGTTTGGGTATTATTGGAGAAGTGGTGGACAAGTTTTCAGCGTGCCTCAAATACCCGCCCAAAAATGTCCACCAGCTCTCGGACTATAATGTCTTTAAGGTGTTGTTACTCCCTGGGCTGTAATCGATTGGGAAGGAGTTGATCCCCTTCTCTATTCAGAAAAATGAGTCGATCCAAGGTTCTGTCTGGACCGCAAGGAAGCAGTTGGTTAAATGCAAATTTAAGTACCCCTTCCATAACTAAGTTGAAATGAAATTTTTGCTTCAACCATCTTTGCTAAGGAAAGCGGTTTGGGATGTTTCTTGCGAGAAGAACCACTGCTGGATATTTTCTTTTATTATTGCGACGAGGTTAGTGTTTTTGGAGCCGCTCATGTTAAAAGAATCTTTCCTGACGGTTAAAGAATTTTGTTCAATTGTTCAGGGGATTTTGCGGATGGTCCTGATGTTTTTACAGTGGATTTGCAGCCCCTCAGCAAGGCTTTTCTTATCCTGGGACGGTTTGGGTTCGTCAGAGTGATAGGTACCAAGTGTCCAAGGAGTCCGCCCGTTTTGTCTTTACAAGACAGGAGGAAGAGACCAGGAAGACGATCGACCTCTTCTTCTTTTGGATAAAATCAAGCATGAGTTGCAAAGTCAAGTTATATCGGTGGGTTTGATAAGTGGACGTAGAAACCATGAAACCATTCTGAGCACCTTTTACGTTGCACCATAGTTTTACCATTGATTGGTTTCCTACAATGAGTATGAGCAGAAAATCTTCTCCAAGGTGGATCTCGACCTTCTGGGAAATTGCAGATCCGCTGAAGAAGAAAATCGTTGGCGAGTCGACACACGAAATGATAAATCTCTCGCAGTTGTTCTCTTAATAGCATCATTGAGACCCTCATCTTTGGTTTACACCTTGGCAGGATCCACTTGCATGTATGTGTATGTATTTCACTGCTAATGAAATCAAAAAGGGGGGTGACCTGTGTAGTTCGCACTCGTAATACTAAAATTGTTCTAAGAATCTGTACCTAAACGACGTTCATGATCAAGTAATGAGTAAAATAAACCCGTTTAAGAAATGGATATTTAACTTGTAAAGAAAGCGTTCGGCAGGGATTTAAGCATACCCGTTTATAGAGAAAAGATGTAGAAACGTTGTTGTTGTTCTACGTTATAGGCGCTTTAAATGGAGGTTGCTGCGCCAAAAAGAGAAGACAGCAGGTAAAGCATGTTTGTGAAGGAATTGACACGATCCACTTATCTGCAATCATTTGTAATTGGAAATTGAATTAAGTTTGCTAATTGCACCAAGATGCTAGTCAATTATATTAACTTAGCTGAAAGGATTAATTCATTCTTCATATTTTAACTTTATCATTTAATCATTTTTTTCATTCAAGTGTCACCAGTTAAACTGGTTTCAGGTGGGTTTTAAATTGGTTACTACGGTTGACAGTAAGGTTAAATTGTACCTTAAATATGGGTTCTGTGAGAAGCAAAAGACATTATGATTATTCTGTCAGCGGGGCCAATAGAACTTGGTTCTGTGAACCATTGTTAATTTCAATCCCTAATACCAGTCCGCGTTCCCGTAGTTAATAGGATCTGAGTACTGTCATTTTTGTGTTCGTTCGTTATACCGAAATTAAAAGCGGCACAGTCGAGGAAAAACATGTGAGCATATGGCCTCCTCCCGGCTCAACACATATCGGGAAAAATAACAGGGCGTACAAGTCAAAAAGGCGTATAATTTTTGTTATTATTTATTTATTGTCCCTCTTGTTCTAGGCCCTCAACAGGCTTACGCCCAATTATAGAGTGACCCGCATAATGCACTGGACTGGTTTAAAATTTATTGAGGAACCTCGATTATGTGTTGGAAATCAATAATTTTGTAAGACTGTGTTTCTGCCCTTCGATGCCGCCCTTATCAAGCAGCAATTTGACTACAATCTTTTCAGCGTATGTTGAGCTACGAAAAAATGGTTCTTACTAATGCATTCCCTTGAGCAATATCTTTGAGCACAACGTTTTCCTAATGACAAAAGCTCGCCATTTGACTATTCTGGTACGCCCGTGGGCTTTCTAATTGCCGAGGGACATTGTTTCTTCCACGGCGCATTTATTGTAAATGAAATGAGTTTATTTCTAAAATATTAAAACCTAATGAACTCTTACGACGTTTTTAAATATCACAAGGAACAACGTAAAATCTAGGGTGCTAAAACTATCATCTAGAAAATGGGGATTTGAAAGGTGAGTGGTATAATAAGTCTCACTACAGTACCAACCGTTATTTCATTTATGAAGAAATGAGTCGTAAATTAAAATTGGTCTTGCTGGCTTTGTGTTTTCTTAAAGATATTAACGTGTGAGCAAATTTGAAGCAATTTGTATTGCACGTATTTTTGCCATTTATAGATACATTGGAATTAGATTTGATAAAATTAAAATCAGTTTCTCATTTTAAAGTTTGTTCAAAATTCAAGCAAGAAAACCCCCAAACTCATGGGTCCATTATGAGTGTTTATAAGGTAACTTGTGTATATTTGAATTGTCAAAGGGTATACATCTAAAATATAAATATTACCAATTGTGGAGTTGAAGTCTGACGTTTCCCATCAAAATATGTTACGTGTGTAAATTGCTTTAATAACTTGGATAACATAACCCATCAATTGAATCAAAACGCCCGACTCGCATTGTTGGTGTCCTTCAACCAGTTTAACTTATTGTACAAATACTACGAATATAAAAACACAGTTGTATGTCTATTGAATAAGGGGTTCCTCTTTTTGATCGCAAAACGATATGACGCATAATAGTTTGTTTGTCGTATCCGATTACATAAGAACAAATTCTATTCATTCAGCCAGATCAATTGTACCTGTTCCACTATAAAAATAGCGATCGATACAACCAGGACACAATTCCGAAAGATGAAGAGCATCGCAGTCATCCTCTGTATTTGCGCCTTTTCGGGCGTTTACGCGGTAAGTGCATGGGGAATTTCGTTGCAAGTGTCGATCTTGTGCTTTTTCTTAGAGTAAAGAATGGAAGAAAACGAAGGAAGAGTGCGTAAAAGAGTCCGGTGTCGAGAAAGATTTATTGAAGTACACTTGGAAAAGCAAGAACGTTACCAGAGATGACAAACTGATCGCCTTCTTCAAATGCGTCATGGTGAAGCAGGGGTCTCTTACGGAACCATGCAATATTAATTTAACGTACGTTAAGAACGTATGCGAGAAAATGAACACTACAAATTGCTCGTATGTAGACACTTGTGAACAGAAGAAAGGAGCCGATTGCGAGGAGACTGTCTACTTAGTGAGCCAGTGCATTGTTCCCAACCTTATGGTATGTATTAGCTCTTTTATTGTATTGTGGAAAACAGTACATTATACGTTTCAGGTAAATGGTATAAAAAATGTTTTCGAGGACTGTAAAAATAAAACCAAAGCAGATAAAGAACTGATTAAAAAAATGCGCAAGGAAGGTGTCATTTCAGATGATCCAGAATTCAAGAAATACTTGGTTTGTGTGGCCGAAGGATTTAATGCCTTTGACGACAATGGAAATATCAGCTTACAGCACTTAAAGAAAATGTGCTCTATGAAAAAGATTGAGGACTGTTCATTCATAGAGGAATGTGAGAAGAAGAAGGGAGACAGTAAAGAAGAAACTGCCTATCTGGCTTTGTCGTGCGCCTATCCTAAACTTTTCAGTCAAACCAAGAAGGATTAACACGTGTTGTACAAAACAGATTTACCTGAATAAATTTTCTCTGCAAATTTGCATAGGTAGCTTTAATTGAAGACCACCCTTATGATCAAATGTGATAGATTATCCTAGTAAACACCTGAATCCAAGTAAATTTCCTCAAAAATTTGATAAAGGCCTTAATTTTATTAGTTTGAGAGCTGAGCAGAATACTTTCAAAAAGTATTTGAATACTAAATAGTAAATACTTTACACAAATCAAAGGTATTTGAATACTAAATACTTTTACGTCCAGCACAAGCGAATACTAGATACAGATACATTGAAAAGTATTCAAATACTTTACAAAATAAGTATTCAAATACTTTAGAATGTATTCGAATACTTTCAAAAGTATTCTAATACAATCAAAGGTATTCGAATACTATAAAAAGTATTCGAATACTTTGAAAAGGATTTCATTATTTTACTTTGAAAAGTATTCGAATACTTGCCACTAAAATACATTAAAAATTTAAAATAGTATACAAGATAAAAAATCAAGTTATACTTTGTATGGGGTTAGCTTTGTTATATTTCTATTGTTATATACAAATTTAAGGGGAGTAAAAGCGTATTATTATTATTATATTATTATATAGGAGGTACCTACCAGGACCTTTCTTATACCAGTTATATCCTTAAGAATACGTGTACCAGTTTTCAAAGCGATCGTACGTCGTGCACACGATACGTACGCCTTTCTGAAATTAATCCTACCGATTTTGGAACAGATCCATTTTTGACCATCCGTTTGTCCGTGTGCATGATAACTTGTTTAGAAACGTGCGATCGCTTTGCAAATTGGTACACATGGTCCTAAGGATATAAGAAAGGTCCCTATTGTTTTTAAGTTACGTAGACTATCGAGTTCGGTATTCAGATGTATCGGATTTTTATATTTGATTTTGTGACAATGGAAACTTTCCCTAAACATTTCTAAATTGTTCTCAAATATTTGAATAACTTAAAAGTACTGCCTCTTTTGAGGCCGGAAAAAAAATTGTCTGAGATCGACCGGGAAAAAAAACATTTTCCCATAGAATTTGGCCCGCAGAATCTATAATTTCAAACAGTTTGAAGATTGGGCTACTAGATCAAAAGTTACAGCCTTTTGAATTTTTCTTCGAAATTTGTTTTTTGTCCATAACTATTTATTGAGAGGTCTAATCGAAAAAGTACGAATAGTTTTGGATTCTACGCACCAAAATTAATAAGAAAAAGTGTTTTCACGAGAAATTTTGGTGTAGTCGATTTTTGGTAAAAAAAGGAAGGTTATACACTGCCTTTTTTTGAGGCCCGCAAAAAAAATTTCTCAGATCGACCCGGAAAAAAATTTTCTTATAGAATGTGGCCTGTAGAATCCATAATTTCAAACAGTTCCAAGATTGGGCTACTAGTTCAAAAGTTACAGCCCTTTGAATTTTCTTTCGAAATTGGTTTCTAGTCTATAACTTTTGATTGAGAAGTCTGATCGAAAAAGTACGAATTGTTTTGGATTCTACGCACCAAAATTAATAAGAAAAAGTGTTTTCCCGAGAAATTTTGGTGTAGTCGATTTTTGGAAAAAAGGAAGGTTAAGTATTCAAATACTATGCGAAGTATTCGAATACTTCTCAAAGTATTCAAATACCTTGCGAAGTATTCGAATACTTTACGAAGTATCCAAATACTTTGCGAAGTATTCGAATACTAAATATTTGTGAAAGTATTTGAGTTACAAAAACAAATACTGCTTCCATAAAAGTATTTAATTACAAAGTATTTGAATACTTTAAAGGATTTGAATACTAAAAAGTATTTACAAAATCGAATACTGCCCGGCTCTGCTCTCACAAGTACAAATAATTTATTTACCAAACGAACACCCCCCGTTATCACGGGTACGAATAGAAAGTTTAACATGAGAACCCTTATCTAAGTCGAATTTGGGCTCGATTAAACATAAAACCAATCATTTAGAGATGAAACAAATTTTATCAACATAAATCAATCGATAAAGCTAAAATAAACACACTCAGGGTCAGTGACAAATACCACGTGTTGGAATCAAGAAGAATTTGTGTAGTAGGCAGGAGAACGATCTGTCAGTAAAAATGTAATAAAGTTTTGATTAACGTAAAACTAGTCCGTTTAGTCTGGAGTCCTGTCACAGTCGCCACCAATGTTGAGTCGCTGAGAGCTTTAAGAAATCCTGCTAAAAATCGTCATTAAGAACTCTGATACTTGGAACAGGGTTGTGTAAAATATAATCATTTGTATAGAATGGATCGTTCCTCACACCTAAAAGTTCGACTCCTACTTTAAATTCCCTTATAAATTGGCGATGGGCAACGACAGAACAATTTGTAATGCGGGTACTATTTAACTAGAACGCTGACGAGTTGCCGTGCAATAAAAACACACCCCGTATCCTACTTAACGGTTAGACAAGTTTAACTCTGCGGAACGATATAATAATAAAACGCGAAAGGAAGCGAGCATAAAACTTCCCCAATTTTAGAGTAAATCAAGTTACGGGTTGTTATGTACCCGAACACTCTAACTAGAGGTATCTTGAGCTTTCGAGCGTGTAAATACTCATCGACAGAATCCGTTTAGAGCATTTGGTCCCCAACACTTGCTTGATTTATTAGCGCGCGTCGAATTCTAACCTGATACGAAGCGTTTATCCTATTGACAATGTTTGCGAATTATCTGGTATTGGCATTATCAATACATGGACGCAGATACAATTTAATTACAATATGCTACGGGTGCCCAGTAGCGATGTATATTGCAACTATTAACCTCAATACTGTAACTGACAGTATCAGCATGTTTGTTGCATGACATTTTTCTCTAAAGTTGTACAACAATGTCTGAAACTGGACTAAACGAATTTTATTGACATATTTTGGCCTCTTTATCACGATTCACACAGTCAAAAAACGATTTGTTAATTAAACAATTTGTATACCTTTACTTCCAAATTTGTACAAAACTGGTCGCAGGTCGAGTGAAAAACGATTTTTCTTAATAGATTCGGGTATTGATAGTTTAATCTAACCTAAAATTAATTATCGCAAAGTTTACCGCAACTCACAAAAGAAATGATCGCTACACCCCACTTCGTTTCTCTTAAGGAGGTGAAGTTAAACCTTAATAAATCATCCCCTGAAACGGATATCTTTTTTAGGCAAAAATGCTTGCTTCAAAATTATCGTAGATTATACGCTACTTAAAGCACCCGTTTTTTCTAAAATAATTATATCAAAATTAATAAACGCACAGTACATGAATATACCAGCATTATTAAACACCCGGTACTTCGACGAACTCAAACCGGCGCGTCCTTACAAGAAATATTGTATTTACGGACCTCTGAATTTATTTTTTAGGAGTGAGAAATGGAAGATAGTAATAACGGCTTAATTTGTAGAGCCGAATTGAAAGATCTCTGGACTATAAATAGTCCACACTGGGAGTATTAATCAATATATAAAGAGCTGTTGACAAATAAATCTTCGAAACAATAGAAATAGGTTTACGGCGTAAGGAAAGCTCGTACGAGGCTGGATTACACATAACGCCAAGTTTCCATCTCGCGTCACCACTTACGCCAATATCAAACGCGCAATTCTTAGAAACACCCATGTCTTCGCTATCTCTTAACACCGATAAATCACGTGCGTTAATTAATTTTCGCCTGATAAACCTCCTTATCGCAACCGACCAGATGTGTCTTACTTTTAACAAAATTGAACAATCACAAAGCGATAAAATTAAAACGAAGTTTTACGCATGTCACAAACTTCTAAGAGGAACAACAAATACGGAAATACAAAATCAAGTAAAACAAACCAAGTCTGTGTTTCTTCGTAAATATCACAACATTTTTCCCTATAATGTATCACTAACGTTAAACTTAACGTGCAGGTTATCTATAGAAAACGTTATTTTGAATTAACTAATGCAAAATAACAGATAACCTCTGTACGTTAAGTTCGATTTTTCTGATTACACAGGGATGAATATTCAGTCAGTTTTCCGCAGGATCAATTAACTAAATTTTGACGGTGGACGAATATTTCGGGTCTTTTACTGTTTTAGTAGAGATTTCTAGAAATTTATTTAAAAAACCACAGGTAAAAAGTTGTATCGGTTGAATTAGGCTCAGACCACTCCAGTTGAATTAAGGGTGGAATTCATAGACATTACTTAAGTTAGACTTACACTTTACTATGAGCACACTTAGTTTAGTTTAAGTGGAATGTCATGCGTCACCGTAACTATATCTTTGAATACCACTAAGTACGCGCTAAGTATGAGTAAAGTGTAAGTGTAACTTAAGTAATATCTATGAATTCCACCCTAAAGACTTTGTATGAAAGGTGCTAATGGAAGCCAAAGCAATCATACAAATTCACGCCCAGGTCGCTTCAACTTAAATGTTGCAATTATTTGTAGGAAAGTAATTTTTTTCCTAGTGATCGATAAGTGGTGCAAAAATAAATCAAGACTTAAGAAAGTTTATTTATTCGAAAGAGAGAAGTCTCTTTTTTTTCTTAGCATCATCGTGTTATAAAGGCGAAAATGAACACTGATTGAGACAAAATAGGTACTTCATGATTAAATGCGAATTGACGTTATGTTTATTTTCTCCACGGAACGAATTCAAACAACTGGAAATAAAGCGGAGCAAATTCTCGTGGCGAAAATACGGCGATCGATCGTGCGGTCTGTTGTTTGGAAACGTTTCAATTTAAATAAATAGTGTGATTTATAGCAAATTATTTTAAAGTTGCGGAATTTTTTTTGTAAATTTGGAAACCGTGTAATAGCGAACTATTCAATATCGAATTGCTGTTATTTGATTTGATGTAGAGCGGCGCCGACACATTTTAATCACATGTGTTATTGAAATCGACATTTTCATTACGCAACGCCGTATAGTTCAATTGCGTAAAGGTTTAAATAACTGGAAACCACGGGGGATGTTGTGTAGATAATTCCAAATTGTTACATGCTGTCAGTTGCGGTTTCGGTAATGATTC